GATTACTTTTATTATCTAAAGAGACCGTGTTATTTGCGAGTTTACAGAGAAAAGAAATTATAATCTTGAATACACCATAATCTACGAATATATACATTTAATTAAAGATATTTTTCTATATTACATTGGCTTCACTAAAGATTGCCTTTTAATCCAGTCCTTTAATAAAAAAGCTATAAATTTTCGTTTAATTATAACTATAATTAATCTCTATCTTTATGTTAGCAGATAGCACAATATTAATTAAAAAAGTTGTAATCTTTAAAATATTCCCCCCTGAAAAAGATGACGACTGCTCCATTACAATATTTCAACTATTTAAGCTCAGCAATTTCATTGGCTTAGCGATGAGACTCTCGAGAAAAATTCATCAAACTCGGGAATAGCTCGCGACGCGGCTGATTACAAACAGCGTGATTTTTTGCATTGTCGTAGCGACACTCTAGCAACAAGTGATATTCGCGTTCCCCTTTCTCTCTATCTCCATTTTCCTTTCCTTTTCTCATGCTTCAGCTACGGCAGCACGAGCTTATGCCGCTTACGCCGTTTTCTGTCTGTCCGTCTGTCCGCAATACCTTTGTGTCTCTCTGTACACGGTGTGCTGTAGCGCATGTTTCGCCTTTTAGGTGAACGCGTCGCACTCGCAAATCAAAAGTCTCGTGTTACGTACCTCTTTCAAAGAGACTTGCGATTTTTAATCAATTATGTCTCTTCATTTTTATTTATTTTTTTTCTTTCATTCTTCTTCCATCATTTTTCTTTTTCTATTTTTATAAATCTAAAATTTAAATCACTAAACATTTATTCTGAAAATCCTTTTCATACACTTGCCATTTCTTCAGTGAGATGTACAGGTTAATTTTGTATCTCGGTTCATTTATAGAATTTACAATTTATATAATACATTCTTTCGTTAATTACATTTATCTTATTTCATTGTTGACAAAGAACGAGGTGAAACGGGGAGAAGAAAAGATACGTTTGCGCATGACAGAGCAAAGGAGGATTGGAGTCGACGCGACGCTACAGGTTCAGGACGAGAAACAGGGAAGGCTAATGGATCCTGCGGGATGCTAATGGCTTGCAGTTGTACATTCGCGCTCTATTTACGGGTAGAACCAATTACGGCTAATTCGACGGCTATCTATTAGTCGAATATATTCCGTGAGACCGCCCCTCGAGGACGTCTTTATAAGGGACCCTTCTGCGTTTGATTATTCGCAGAATATATTCATGTCTCTAAATGCGTTTAGATTTGCTTCTCAGGACAGACGTGCGACATTACTAGATCGACATTTAGATACTGGTATGAATATACAGATGAAATTATTTAGATAAAGTGTAGCTTGGAGACGAAGGTATATTTAACATGAGGACGCTAAGTAAACGGGACAAGTATACTTATATGATGTGATATGAATACATAGTATTATATTATCGTGAGTTTGAAATTTGCTCTTGTACAAGGATATCACTTGTCAATGTATATATTAGAATAAGATGAGAAAGAGGATTTTGTATATCTTTAAAAATAATAAAAAATCATATAAAAAACAAGAACAAGTGAAGAATAAATGAAACAAGTACATGATGAAATACAATAGTTTTGTACATATTAAAAAAAAAATATAATAATTTGTGATGAATATATATATATATA